AGTACCACAGCCCAGAGGTCTGACAGGGCTTCGCCCGTCATTCCCCCCTTGGGAGTTGCATGTTGCGACCCCAGGACTCTGTTCTGGTCTTGAGGTCACTTCAAATGAATTCCGGAAGGAGCTTCCGGCAACCGCTCACTCAGGGCTTTACTGCCACTGCTGCCAGCCTCCAGTTTTCCAGCCTGGCTGCCAGTTCTGTTGGTGCCACTGCTGGTTCCACTCTTGGCCGTATCCGGCGGATCGCCAGTTTCTCCACTGCTCCTCAGCCCAGCTCGATCCCTGCCATTGCTGGTGGCTGTCGTAGCTCTGCCGATTCCATCGCCATTCATCTTGGTTCTGAGGGTGGCTTGGATCATCGGCTGGAGCAGCCGCTGCACTATCTTGGGGGTTGGTCCTCAAATCAGCGGTGCGCTGGGCTCTTCTCTGCGCCCTCTCGGCCTCCTTTCTCGCAAGATAGCCGGGTTCCAAAGTGGGGGGTCTTGGATGATCCCAAGACCTCGGCATATCAGCTGGTGCGCAACCCTCCATTCGTGCGAGCTGTTGGTGATGCCTGGCCGCCCTTTGCCGCGACTTATGTCGGATCCTCGCCTCTTCCGGCGAGAAACCCATCCGGATGTCGGCTGCGAACTTGCCTGGCTTGGTGGGCGGAGGAGCCTCGTCCGCTCGCAGCTGCAGGGACTTCAGGTACTCGGTACATCGTTGCCAGGATGAAACCCTCATCTTTGCTTTGACCTCTGCAGGCGCCCTCAGGTATGCTTCCATGCGATCACCAATCTCTTTCAGGAGATCCATGTCCTGTTGAAACTCCTCTGGAGTTCGATCGTCCTCCTGATCTCCCCAGTCGACTTCTTCTGAGGAGAAGAAAAGTGTCTCGACCGGAGCGGTCGGGCTTGATCTGGCTGGACCAGCCGGTGGTGGGGTCCCCCCCGTCATGGCTTGATCCCTCGTCTCCTCGACCTTTGGCGCCTTGGCGGGGCTTTCCCCGCTGTCTCTTGCAGGCGGCTCTGCCATGGGGGCATCTTCATCCCTAGTGTCTTTGCTGACAGCTCTTTTGGGCCTTGCGTAGCTCCTCGGATCTTTTCCCCTGGACGTCATAGCTTCCCAGGCGGGCGGGAAGACCATCTCGGCAAGGTTGATCCTTGGGGATCCACCGCCCAAGCAGTCTTCCCTGACTGCTGTCGGCAACGGAGTCTCGACTTCTGGGATGGGTGCTAGGGTCTTCCTCTGCTGCCTCAGCTTTTGGTTGTTGTAGTGGAAAAGGAAGCTTTTCACTGCATCCAGTGCTTTCTGGTTGAAGGCATCATTTGCTTCCTTTCGATCCCCTTGGAGACCATCCGTGGTGTTCTCCTCATCCCAGTTCTGGCTGACCTCTGGCCAATCACAACTGGTCGGATCGACCACATCATGCCAGTCATCTTCGGAGTCCGGGTCTACGTTGACCAGCACATAGTCCTGTGAGGGGTCTTCCACCCTGTCCTCATGGTCACCGGGCTCTGGTGTTCCCAACCACAGCGCAGCTGGGCTGGCCCCTTTCCGGGCTCCTTGGTCCACCTCCATGGGGGCCGCCTCGGGCCGGATATCTTGCTTGTTCTGAGTTCCTTCTCCCTGGTAAGTTTGGGGATTTCTCTCAAACAGCCCCGAGGGTCGGAAAGGCTCTTCTCCTTCTTCGGCATTGGGGGCCCGTAGGTCATGCCTGGGAGTTCCTCCTACACTTTCCTCCGGTGTTCTTGGCTCGCCTGAGGGTGTTGACCCCTTTGCCTTTGGCGGAACAAAGCTTGGTGGCGGCGCCTTCCGACCGATTGCGGTCCCTCTCTCCTCCTGTTTTGGTGGGATGAAGTCCTTGGGCGGAGGAGGTGGTGGCTTCCTCAGACCCGCTGCTCCTCCTCCCTCCTGCTTCGGCGGTAGGAAGTCGCTGGGTGGAGGAGGTGGTGGTTTTCTCAGACCAGCTTTGGGTGGCGTCTTCGCCCTGGGCAATCTCTCATCCCTTGGAGGTGGCATGTAGCCTGGGGGTTTTGGCGGCGCCCATTGGTGGTAGTTGGACGATGGGCGTGGGACCTCCGACATAGGCGAAGGTTTTGGCATGTTCTCTGCTGGGGGGAACCTCGAGGTCGGCTTTGGCGTTGGTCCTTGTGCGGTTGAACTGCCTGGACCAGCTGTAGCCGTTTGCTGTTGTGGTCCCCATCCTGTGGCAGCTGGGCCGGCTGGATCAGCCGTAGGGGCATTCGGTCTCGGAGCACTGTAGGATGGTGGGAACCTGGATGCTGGCTTGGGCTGGGTCGGTTGGTGCTCTGCCTGCGGACCCGGTGGTGGAGTAGTGGATCTCGATTCAAAGAAGTCTCGAGCTTCCCGAAAAGACGAGGAAGGCTCCCTCCTAGCCTGTTGTGCATAGCATCCCCGAGCCTGCCCTTCATCCTCGTTATTCCGGGGGTTATAGGCTCTGGTTGCCCCTGGCCTTGCTGGTGCTGCCCGGGCTACTGCTGCTGCCCTCGCCCTGGCTCTGGCGAGTTCTGCCGCTCTCTCCGCTTGCCACTGACGGAACTGCTCGGCCATCAGTGGGTCACTAAGGATATCCCTAGCGGTTGACATCCTCTTGAACTCTTCGGATTTCTCTTCCTGCTCTTCTGTCGGCAAGTGGCTGAGCTTGTCTGGATGGTACGTTCTTGCCTTCATTCGGAACGCCTTGAGCACTTCGGGCGTACTGGCCCCTCGCCTGACTCCGAGGAGTCGATGCAGGTCTAGATCCGGGTTGTGTCTGAAAAAGAGGTGTGATTCCTCCAGCTTGCTAACTGGGGCCGCTTCCATGACGCAGCTTCCAGCGCGTTCGCAGAAGGACACTCGTCGGTCTGGGGCCCAAGACAAAGATCTCGAGCCTAGAGTCCCACGATTGAGATCAGACCGATCTTGGTGGTTTCCAACGGGTGGGCGATCGGCAGCCTGAGCCTTCTGACTAGGCAAGGTGATGACGTTGCTGCCTATCATGCCTTGGGAGATGCCTATCTGGGCTGTGTGGTCCTCATATAAATATGCATGAACGGCATCAGAGGTCCAGCCCCCGTATCTCTTCAACCTCTCAAGGTCCCCGGTAGATGCGAAGAAAGCCGTGGCCCCCCCTTTGCGGAGTGAATGAGACCCTGCAAGTTCCCCTGGGTATCCCGCAGCCAGTGCTGCCACCTTAATTAGGTGGGCTATCCCCTCTCGGTCGAGACCGGATCGGTCCGCGTACCGAAACAGCGGCTTTTCAAGCTCCGCACCTCTCCAACGATGAGGTTGTAGTGCTTGCAGTGTAGCCAAGGCCTCGACCGGACACAGATCTCCACCGGATCGGTGGTGTGAACGAGCTTGCCCACGACCGAACTGGTCTGTCTTGGAGGACCTGACTTGGGTCACCACTTCATCTGCTACTGTCCCCAAACAGGCTTGACCCCCCCTTATAGAAGGCAACATCGGCTGGGCGGATCGCCCGATCTAGCGGGTCTGATCCATCGCCATGCGGCAAGAGTTCACTGGCTCTCAGCATGAAGAACCACCCAGTCAACAGGGCCCCTTTAACCATGGCTTGGTCCGGTACGGTTAGACCCATTCGTTGGATGTGCTGGTTCAGCCACCTGAGCATGGTTGGGGTGACTGGGAGCTTTCTGGCTGGGGCCCCTTCCCACCTCTGCAGTCCCGCTACGGCGGACCACAGCCGTGGTTTCCCTGAGAGTGGGTCAGGGTAGCCGGCAGTAATGTGGGCATAACGGATAGCGGACAGCCTTTGTCTGATGCCCCCTATGGAGCGTCCCATGATTTGGTGGAGGAAAACCACGAACCTGATTAGCCTCTGTTCATCTTCATACCGAGCGGAACGCTCCTCTCCCGTGAGGAACAACGGTGACTTAGCCCCACTATTAAAAGGACCCATTGCTTCCATCCAGAAGCATAGACTCTCCTAGTGGAGTCAGCTAGTTTAGCTAGCACTGCTTCCATGCCAATGTGGTCCAGGGCCTCGATGCCTTTAAGCCTTGGGGGCCCACAGTTCCCTTTGGTTTTTGGCTGGGGCAACCAGCTCGTGAGTGGGAGTCAGGTAGGGTTTTTTAGCTTTTCCCTTTTTGGGGGCACCGGCTTTCCAGGAGGAACCAGCATGAGTG